TCAGCAGCAGCAGCAGCAGCCCCTCTCCTCCCAGCAGCCTCCGCAGCAGCAGCGGCCGCAGCTGGCTTCGGGGTCGGGGCCGCGTCAGCCGCAGCGTGGTGCTGTTTACCCTCCCTGCGCCTATCAGGTTCTGACAGGTGCTCGCCGGGGCCACCCTTGTGGCCGCCTTCACCCCCCTGGTCAGTGTTTTGCTCAGCTCACTGACACGGTTCGTTTGGTTTACGGGGTTGGCGGTCCTGCCCCTGACTGGTTTCCCCTTGTTCAGCGTTACGGTTCCGCTCTGTGGGACATGTCTGCCGAGCAGTTAGCTGATCTGATTGGAACTCCTCATGCTATGTATGCTGTTGTTGACTCTAGTGTTTCTGACTCTGTTTACTCTGGTGTTGTTAGCTTAGGTGCTAGCCTTGCTCAGTTGCCTGTTGCTAGTGTAGGTTCTTGTGTAGACACTAGTCCAGCGGCTACCTCGGAGGACGCTTCACTGTCTTTCACGCTGGACTCTGGAGCCTCGCACTGCTTCTTCCGTGACAACACGACACTTACGCCACTTCCTGCGCCTGTCTCTGTGGCACTGGCTGATCCCACCTCGGGACCAGTCACTGCGCGTCACACTACCACCTTGCCGTGTCCTGCTGCTCCCTCCGGGTCTCTCACTGGGTTTCATGTCCCCTCGTTCTCCCGGAACTTGGTGGGCGTGCGACCCCTCGTGAGTCAGCACGTGGGTGTGTGGTTTGAGCCTTCTGGGGAGACTGCGGTGTGTGTTGACGGGGACTCTTACCAGCCTCTGGCCACCTTTGCTGCTGAGCCGGGTTCCGGTCTCTACACTCTTCACACTGGCCCGCGTGCACGGCAGCGGACGCAGCAGCAGCAGCAGCAGCAGCAGCAGCCGCAGCAGTCGCCGCCGCCGCCGCAGCAGCAGCAGCCGCAGCGGCCGCCGTCGCAGCAGCCCCTACTCCCAGTTCCTGTCCCTCCCCCTAGTCTCCTCCCTGCGTCTCACCAGGTGGTTCCGTCCCCTCAGGTTGTCGCGTCCAGTCCAGTCGCTGCGTCTTGCTCCTGCCGGTCGCTTGCCCACCCCACCGTTCTGTGGCACCACCGGATGGGACACCCTTCTCTTCCACGTCTGCGTGCTATGTCTAGTCAGCGTCTGGTCTTAGGTCTCCCGCGTGTCTTGCCGTCGCTGCCGCCGTCCCTTGCACCACCGTGCGGTCCTTGCGTCGAGGGTCGGCTGCGCGCCACCCCTCACTCCTCCTCCCTTCGTCCGGCCACCGAGCCGTTTGAGACGCTTCACCTGGACGTCTGGGGCCCCGCCTCTCACCTTGGTCCTGAGCGTGAGCGTTTCTTTCAGGTGGTCATGGACGACTACTCCCGCTACACCACAGTGTTCCCCCTGGCGAAGAAGTCTGAGGTGACTTCTACGCTGATCAGGTGGTTGCTCACCACCGCGGACACTCGTGGTCGTCGTGTCAGCTGTCTCCACTCCGACCGCGGGGGTGAGTTTCGCTCCGGCATTCTCGCTGGATTCTGTCGCGAGCAGGGCATTCGTCAGTCCTGGACGCTTCCAGAGTCCCCACAGCAGAATGGGGTTGCTGAGCGCCGCATAGGCTTGGTCATGGAGATCGCCCGCACCTCCCTGACTCACGCCCGTGCCCCCCATTTTCTGTGGCCTTACGCGGTTCGGTACGCCGCGCACCAGCTGAACCTCTGGCCACGCGTCTCTCGGCCAGAGGCTTCGCCGACCAGTCTTTGGACCGGGTCCCCTGGTGTTGCGTCGAGGTTTCGTGTCTGGGGTTGCTTGGCTCTTGTCCGCGACACCTTTGCGGACAAGCTCTCGCCTCGCGCCGTTCCTTGTGTCTTCCTTGGTTTCCCTGAGGACTCCTCTGACTTCACCTTTTACCACCCTCCCTCTCACCGGTTCTTTGACTCCCGTGACGTTTCGAGGAGTCCACCCCGTACTTCGTCAGGCACCCCAGTCGAGGTCTCCCGGTTCCTCCTCCCCCCCTCTTCCTGACTGCCGCTCCCCCTCCTGCTCCCCCGGTACAGCCTCCCCCCCCTGGTCCAGCCCCGTCAGGTGTGTCCCAGGCTACCCCTCCTCCTTCGGTAGCCCCTCCGGTACAGCCTCCCTCCCCACAGTCCTCCTCGCAGCGTGCTGCAGGTGCTAGCTCTCGAGAGGTTGGTGCCGAGCCTGTTTGTTTCTGTACCGGTTTTTGGTTCTGGGGGTGCTGGAGTTGGAGCTGAGCCGGTGGGTGCAGAGGACTCTTGTCTTCCGGGAGCTGGTGCTGGTCGCGCGGACACTGGGGGTGCTCCGTCTGGGGGTGAGGGTGCGCCTCCTTCGGGTTCTGGTGAGCCTGGGTCTGGAGCTGGTGTTAGTGCTGCCTCTGGGGGTGGTGCGCCTGGTCCTTCGGGGGTGGACTCTGGAGCTGCCGCTGCTCCGGACACTACTCCGCCCCCCCACCCCTACCCGACTAGGCACCAGGCTCGTGTTCGCCGTGCCCGTGAGGAGCAGCTGGCGTTGGAGAGAGAGGAGAGGGAGCTGGAGGAGCAGCAGCAGCAGCTGGAGCCGCAGGAGCAGCAGCTGGAGCCGCAGGCGCAGGCGCAGCAGCAGCAGCACCAGCCGCAGCAGCAGCAGCAGCAGCAGCCACTTCCTCCTCCTGTCTCGGGTCTTCGGACCCTTGGTCTCCCCTCTCCTTCTCCTCCCTCCTCCGCCTCTCCTCCTGTCTACGGTCCCACGTTTCCTCCTCCTGACTCCTCCCCCGCTGTTTTCCCCAGTTCTCCGCCTTTGTCCTCTCCTCCTCCGTCTCGTACTTGGGCTACTCGTCGCTCTCCTCGTGCTCGTCCCTCGTCCCCTGTTCCTTTCACTGACCTTCGTACTGTCTTGTTACGTTCTAGTCCGTCTCGTTCGGCTCCTCCTGTGCTTCCTTCTCCTCCTGAGTCGGCCCTCACAGCTTCTCTCTCTACCCCTGTCACTGACTACTACCGCACGTACCGTCCTGTTCTCTCTCGTGTTCTCGCCTCTCTTGTTACCCACCCTCGTGCCTCTTTGTCCTCTGTCTCTGCTCTTACTGCCGCGGTCACTGAGTTTGCCTCTACTCGCCGCCTTGACTACGCCACCACTCTTGTGGCTGCTCCTCCTACCAGTCCTCTGGCCGTCGGGGGTGTGTCTGCCCTTGGCTGTGACGTCCTAGAGGACAGACAGTTTGAGCTAGAGTTTCTGGCAGCTGCTTCGCCTCATCTCTGTGCCATGCTCCTCACCCCTGAGGGTGACCCCGACGCCCTTGACATTCCGACTCCTCGCACTTACGCTGAGGCAGTGTCAGGGCCTTGGGCCTCTCAGTGGAGAGCTGCCATGGACGCAGAGATGGCCTCCTACAGATCCACAGGCACCTACGTCGATGAGGTTCCTCCCCCTGGGACGAACGTAGTCGATGGCATGTGGATCTACAGGGTGAAGCGGCCACCAGGATCTCCTCCGGTCTTCAAGGCGCGCTACGTTGCTAGAGGTTTCAGTCAGCGCGAGGGAGTTGACTTCTTTCAGACCTTCGCGCCGACCCCGAAGATGACCACTCTTCGGGTGTTACTGCACGTAGCAGCACAGAGAGACTACGAGTTACACTCCCTCGACTTCTCCACTGCTTTTCTTCAGGGCAGCCTACACGAGGAGGTCTGGCTGCGTCGTCCCTCTGCCTTCACTGGCAATTTCCGTCCTGGGACCCAGTGGAGGCTGAGGCGACCTGTCTACGGTCTTCGCCAGGCCCCTCGTGAGTGGCACGACACTCTCCGCTCTACCCTCTCTGACCTTGGGTTCCAGCCGTCTTCTGCCGACCCGTCGCTGTTCGTTCGCCGTGGCTCCACACCGTTCTTCGTTCTGGTTTACGTCGACGACCTAGTTTTCGCCACTGCTGACAGGGTTGCTTTGGCAGACGTGAAGTCCGAACTGCAGAAGAGACACACGTGCACTGACCTTGGTGAGCTGCGCCATTACCTTGGGCTGCAGATCACCAGGGACAGAGCTGCTCGCACCATTACACTCTCACAGTCACACATGGTGCAGCAGGTCCTTCAGCGGTTCGGGCTTCAGCACTCCACAGTACAGCGCACACCTCTTGCTGTTGACCACAGACTCACTGGCCCCTTTCCTGACGAGCCGTTTGAGCCTAGTGGTCCCTACGCAGAGCTTGTGGGTTGCCTCATGTACCTGATGACTTGTACTCGCCCGGACCTCGCCTTCCCTCTCAGCATCCTTGCGCGCTTTGTTGCGCCAGGGAGACACCGTCCTGTTCACTGGACAGCAGCTGTGAGGGTTCTCTGTTATTGCTTGGACCGGCCTTGTGGCCATTGTTGCTTGTGCTCAGAGTTTGTGGTGACGTTGTGATCCACCCTGAGCTTTGTTTCTTTGTGACTGGTCTTATGACCGTACTCTTTTGGTTTTGCTAGACACCCCTCACTTAGGCTATGGGGGTGTGTCAAATGTTGGTAGCCTGTAGTGAGGTTTGTCTTAGGGGGTACGTATGTTAGGGTTTGCTACTTGTACCCCAACCACCATCAATGAAACAACACTTGTGATTCTAACAAGGCGCATTGATTTCTGTACAGCCAATGCAAGGACCTCTCTGTGGCGACCCAACCCACGACATGCAGACAATATGTACATTCCTCCCCCACGCATGCTAAATTAGCAAGCTAATTTATTCTTGGATAAGCCCATTTCCTGTGCCTGTGGTCATCATGCTCAAACATCTCATTGACTGCTCTTGAAAGATGTACATTTTCTTTGAATAGCACAAGTGTTTTACGGTACTGAACAATAAAACGACGTCACTAAGCTGGAAGAGAGTTTGCTGTTCGTACAACCTTCATCATACGCACACCTACCGGCACCAAATGCTTAAGATGCTCTGTTAAAAAGACAGGATGCGCCTCGTCTCAATGCCGTTCAACACAGCACGGTGCAGCACAGGTCTAAGAAGATGGTCGGTCTGGTACGCGGTGGTAGGAAGAGTCACGCCCTAAGCTGATGCAGCGCTCTGCTGAAGGGAGTCCCATAGAGCTTCGCCCTCCTTGAATCCTGAAACGGAAACCCGAGAAAGAACATACCAGACAGATTATGTCACCCACCCACCTGTGGGGCTATACAAAAGGCTGTGCGCAGTCTCCAGGTCAACACGAGTCAAACCAAGTCAAGTTACCAGCACTAACATCCATCGGCTGGACGTCGTCTTTGCGCCAGGCATGTCACACCCGGTAGTTTGAGTCAAACTGTAGTCAGCTCAAGTCAACTCAGGTCAACTCACGTCAGCTGGTCTCACAACACCCACCAGCAATGGGTGCCAGGGATATGTCATGCACACGAGTCATGATGACACCGTGCACGTGTCACAATAGTGCAACTCAGCTCAAGTCAACAAAGTCAACTCAATTCAACTCTCAAGTCAGCAAGCCACCTTTCCTGAGAAGACTCACTAGCAGTGGAGGCGAGGGACATGGCATGCACACCATTCATGACAAACCGTGCACGCTTCGCCATGGTCCAAGTCAGGTCAAGTCAACAACGCCAGGTGTCCTCTCCTCACAGCACTCATCAGCAGTGGAGGCGAGGAGCATGGCATGCGGGCCATTCATGACACAGTGCACCGGCATGCCTCGCCATAGTCTAAGTCAGCTAACGTCATCTCAATCCAACTCAAGGCAGCACTCACCAGCAGTTGAGGCGAGGGACGTGGCATGCGGTCCATTCATGACGCAGTGCACCGTGCATGCCTCGCCATAGTCCAAGTCTGGCAGCAGCTTTGGCGTCAGCAGGAAACACCTGCAGGGGGAAGGGGTGCATGGGGAAAGGCAAGAGGTGGACAGGTGCAAATGTGACAGAGGAGACCATTGCGGGTTCAAAATGCTTGCTAGACACATGGAGCGGGCCATGCCTTGATGGTGCCATGCTTGCTTGCTAGACACATGGCGTGACCTGCATGACCTGCGCGACACCACCCATGCTTGAGACGTCTCAAAGCGTATGCATATGCTGTGATACTTGACCTATGCCAGTCCTGAACCATCGCAAAGTTTGCTTGCCCTTGGTATGGCGTGAAGGCCACTCACTACAAGAAGTGGTCGTGACTAACCTGGTTGCGCGCTCACTGCGGCGTGTGGTCATGGGTGGCACTGTGCACTCACTGCGGCGTGTGGTCATGGGTGGCGCTGTGCACTCACTGCGGCGTGTGGTCATGGGTGGCGGCGCGCACGAGCTGTTGGAACATGTTGCGCTCGTTGGTGGGGTCCATGCCCTGGTTGATCTCATCCACCACTCGGAACGGACAGCGCGTTAAGTCCTGCAGCGACACCAGATACAGGATGGTGGATACAGAGCGCTCCTGGTACGGGGCAGCGGATGGGAGGGAAGGGTGGGGTCCATGCCCTGGTTGATCTCATCCACCACTCGGAACGGACAGCGCGTTAAGTCCTGCAGCGACACCAGGTACAGGATCGTTGACACCGAGCGCTCATGGTATGGGGGAGAAGGGGAAGGGAGGGCACGGTAAGGCACATGGGAAGCGGGAGGGATCAAGGAAATGGAGGGATTGCATGTCCTGTTTTGTAAAGGGCAGCGCGTTAAGTCCTGCAGCGACACCAGGTACATGATCGTTGAGACAGAGCGCTCCTGGCATGGGGGAAGGGAAGGGATGGGAAGGCACATGGGAAACGGGAGGAATCAAGGAAAAAGAGGGATTGCAAGTCCAGTTTCGGAACGGACAGCACATCAGGTTCTGCAGTACAGGATCGTTGAGACAGAGGCCTCCTGGCATGGGGCATGGGAAGGGGGTTCACGGGAGGAAGAGGGTGGAGAACGCAGAGTGTAATTCCATGCCCTGTGGTGAACGGATTGAGCATGGTGCACGTTAGATAGTGCAGATGGAGTAGGTAGAAATTGGTGGACAGAGGGGAAGGGAGGGGGCAAGCAAGTAAAAAGGGACAAAGTCAAGGCAACAACGGCGGGAGACGCAGGCAACAGATGAACGGCACAGCAAGGACCCTTGCCAACAAAGAATGAACCCATGTAAACAAGCAACGTACCCCTCCTGATTGGTGGTGCGCACTCAGATCCTGTAGCTCTGCACTCTCCCTGATGCACGCATGGACAACCACATAAAGAGCGCAAGGTTGGGGTTGCAAGAGCAGAAAAGGGGGCAGGAGGGCAAGGCGAGGAAGGGAGACGATGAGAAGAGATACGTGACAATGTGCAGAGACTTGTGAGTAGGAATGGATGAAATGTGTGAGTGCACGGGCTGTTATTCTAAAATGTGTGCATTTACAAGAAAATGCATGTGTGGAAAAGGAACTCAACTGAAGGGACAAGAGCGCGGCATGGGAAAACACACAAGTTGACGAGGGTTTCTGACACATTGGCGTTGGTAGCAACCTTAGGGCATTCAAGGGAACTGCAATGAAAAAATCTTGCAAAGCTGAATCACCTGAAACTGAATCACCTGAAACTGAATCACCTGAAACCGAATCACCTGAAGCTGAATCACCTGAACTTGACTCGGATCCGAATGCCGTATGAACGAAAGTCAGCGCCCCTCTCATCTGAAGAGAGACAAGTACGGGAGGTGCGTCGCAACTTGTTGGCTGAATGATGGCGGTGGTGAGGGTGGACTGCGCATGACATTTTGTTAGCCGAAAGGTTCTTGTATTCTTGAGGTTTCGTGACTTTTCGGCGTGGTAGGGTATGGTGGGTCGCTTATGGAAAATGATGAGGTAAACTGTCATTTTCCCTCACTCCCCCTCTCGAACCTATCTTCCCGCCCAGCGCGACTGTATCTGAGTAGAATCAAAAGCACTCCTCCATCTGGTGCCAAGCCATCTCTTCAAATTACTGCCTCCTACAACACAACATCTCGCAGTTCACTCCCTCACTCCGAGCCAGTACCCATTCAGTTGATTCCCATACATACATTCTCACACTCCCTTGCCCTCACCCTCTCCCCTCCGCTCTTCCCGCGCTCACCTAGAGCCACCTCCCCAGCGACGGCCATTTCCCGGAAGTTTCTGGAGAAGGCCTCATTGATGCGGATTATCAGCGAGCGGAGGCGCGGCAGCCAGAGACCCTGGGGATGGGATGGTGCCACGTGGCAGATATTGATTAGATGGTGCCACGTGGCATATGGGGATGGAATGACATGCGGCAGAAGCAACAGAAGGAAGCACATGGCAGATCGATGAGATGATGACATGCTGACAAAGCTAATGAAACCGTGACATGGGCAAAGCCCATGGCATGTTCCTGATCGAATCTCCCAATACCCTATGTCTCACCTGAACCCTCTCCATTGCATGTCCCCCCATCCCCTTACAATCACCTGCACCTGCTCCATCCTCCCAAAGCACCTCCATCTGCTACAGTAACACCCGTTATAGTCACACAGACCCACACCCCGTAACACCAATTACAGTAACATGCATTACAGAAACCCACATTACAGTCACACACTCCACCCATTCTCACCTGCACGCGCTCCACTTCTGCCCTGAGCTCCTCCAGCTGCTGCCGCTCACTCTCCACCTTGCCCTGCATTGTGCGGATCTGCATGCAAGCACATGCAGCCAGGGGAGGGTTAGGGGAAATGGAGGGGAACGCAGGGAATGAACATGGTGAATCGAGGAAAATGGGGGCAATGAGGGATACAATAGGGTCTCACACATCACCTTGACCGCACCCTGCGGGTCTGGAAGCGTGAGGTTTGGTCGGGAGGAAGTGGGAGTGAGACAACTTCTGAAGTAGATGGAACAAACATGGAAAGAAGATGTTCCCCTCCCTCACCTGCGCAGTGACTCCTGATGGTATTGCTGAAAAACACGCAGTGTAGTTGTGCTTTTTTTTTTTTTTTTTAAACCTCTCACCTCCTCTTTCAATTGTTCTCCCGCCTGCCCTGTCTCTTATTCACCCGCTCTCTCTCACCTCCTTGCTCACCGGCTCTCACCTGCTCCTGCCGCTCTTGGAACTGCTGCAGCAGGCCGTGTGTGTGTGCAGAATCGTGCCCCACTCCCCCCACTCTAACCTGCTCCTGCCGCTCTTGGAACTGCCGCAGCAGGTTGTGTGTGTGTGCAGAATCGTGCCCCACTCCCCCCACTCTCACCTGCTCCTGCCGCTCTTGGAACTGCTGCAGCACGGGCAGGTTGTGTGTGGGTCTTCAGCTGTCTCTCACCTGCTTTCACTCCACCTCAACCTGTTCTCACCTGCTCCTGTCTCTCTTGGAACTGCTGCAGCACGTGGGGGTTGGGGCACACGATGCGGTTTGCCTGCCCTATGCGCTCCTCCACCTCCTCCTGTAGCTCCTCCAGTGAATTAGGCAGCTGAGGGAACGGCACAACACAACAAAACACAACACGCAGGGCAGAAGCCGCGCACGCACAGCAAAGCAATTCGTGGGGTTTTGAGGAGCCTAGAAAATGCAGAGGTGAAGGTGCGTGGAGGCAGGCAGGCCTACGGGCATCATAAGTCGGGCCAATCAATGTGGATGACCTGAACCAGAGCCACAGCAGCGTTCTGGAGCACCCAGACGCAGGGTTCTGGAGGAGAGAGTTAGGGAAGATGGGATGGGGGGAACGAACAATGTGGTAGGTTACGGCTTGCCTTGGATGGTGAGGAAGGAAGAGGAATCTCTGTCTTTCCACAACAGATTCAGAAAGCCCTGTGGTGACCTCGTCTCCGGTTTACCCATAGCACCCGCTTTGCGTTGTTGCAAACAACCCCCCTCACTCACCATCACCACTTCAAAACGCCGATTGATGCAACAAACACCTCCACACCCATCCTCACCGTTTCAAAGAGCCTCTTGGCCTCCTCGTCTCTCCTTATGTCCACCACCGCTCTCGCCGCCTCCAGTGCCGCTGCTGCCTCTTGCTTCGCTGCCGCCACCCGATCCTCCTCTGCACAGGCAGGCAGTGGGAGGAGGTGGAGGAACGGAGGGGGAGAAGGAATGAGGGAGAGGCGTGTGACTAGGTGAGTTTCATCTATGGTGCCCCCTCCTGCGTTGCTTGCTACCCCTGAGTGACCCCCCTGTGACACAACATTTTGTACATTTATCAAAAAGAAATACGTGGGAGAAGTTTGACTAAGGTGCAATGGCAGGAAAGTTCAGAGGAAGTACTTTCCACTCACAACATTCTTGAGGCGCCTCAAAAAGAAGTACTTTTTACCTATAACAATCTTCGCCTCCATGCATGCACGAACGAACCCCACTCGTTCCCTATCCCTTCTGACCTCTATAATTCCTACCACTCGACCATAGCCCTTCTCACTTCTCATCCCCACTCAGTCCCATTCATCTCCGCTCGTCCCCACTCATCCCACCCCTCCCCACCCCTGCTCACCGCGCATCACCTCCTGCTGCAGCTTCAGCAGCTGTTCGTCCAGCTCCTTGAACTCGCCCTCGCGCTCGCGCACCTGGCGGTGGGATGGCAGGCAGGGTGCATGCATGGCAATGTTAAGTGCATGGCCATGTATGTGCGTGCTGGACGGGTGCATGAGCATGGTGCCTCGGCGCTTCAGCAGCTGCTCGACCAGATCCTTGAACTCGCCCTCTCGCTCGCGCACCTGATTGAGGGGGGGATGGCAGGCAGGGTGCATGCATGGCTATGTGAAGTGCATGGCCATGTGTGTGCGTGTTGGTTAAGAGCATGGTGCCTTGGTGCTTCAGCAGCTGCTCGTCCAGGTCCTTGAACTCGCCCTCGCGCTCACGCTTGCGCACCTGATGTCGAGGGGAGGCATGACACGATATGATATGATGCATGGCAGTGGGCATGTGATGCATGTGATGCATGTGATGCATGTGGTGCATGGGGTGCATGTGATGCATGTGGTGCATGGGGTGCATGTGGTGCATGTGATGCATGTGGTGCATGGGGTGCATGTGGTGCATGGGGTGCATGTGGTGCATGGGTGTGTGCTCATGTGGGTTGGGTGCATTGGCACGGTGCCTTGATGAGCAGCATGCGATGTTCCCACCTGTGAAGAATTCAACACATGGTGATTCTTATCTCAAGGAAGCTCGCCGGAAGCTACCACGAAGAAGAGCGTGTGGGAAGTTACCAGGAAGGAGAGCTCGTCCACAGCAAGTTGCAGGGAGGAGAGGCGCCGCTTCTCCTGCCACAGGCTCAGCAGGTGCTTCTGGGGGAGGTGCACATGGGGAGGAGGACGGTGGGGGAGGGAAGGGGAGGAGAAGTTGGGGACGAAGAGGGGAGAGGATTGGGTATGGAATCACACAGACGCCCCATATTGGAGCAAGGCTCTGTTGTTTCTTTAGCACCTATCACAACACCGGTGCACCATCTCGAAGCAGCAGTTGTTGTAAGGAAAACGGAAGTGAGGACAAAGAGAAGGGCAGAAGCGAAGGGAAAGGGAGGAGGCAGTCTGCATGGGAGCATGCTGTGGCACTCACTCACACGTGCGTTGCTGGCATCCTGCAGCTGCCTCTCTCCATGTGGTTTACTGATGTCTGCACACGGGCCCACCTCCGTTCGAACTACAGTGCACGTGTACCGGCGGCACTCCTATCCATGCACGGATGGGAGGGAGAACGGTGGCCAATCTCCACTCCCTCTTCACCCATTCTGCTCTCAACTTAATATGCCCGTGAAACGGAGGCACTCACATGTGTCTTCTCGGCGTTGCTCAGCTGTCGCTCCATGCTGAGAGCAATGACCACCCTCACCGCCCTCTGTCCAATCACTCCACAATGCCCTCTCGTGCAGTGGCTGGAGAGGCACTCACATGTATCTTCTTGGCGTTGCCCAGCTGTCGCTCCATGCTGAGAGCAATGTCCGCCCGCGCCCTCCTCTCCACCTCCTCCATATCCTCGCTCTGCCGCGATTGTTCCACCACGTCGCGCTTCTGCACTGCCTTGGGGAAAAGGAAGGAAAGATAGGCGAGACATGGAAAGTGGGCTGAGAAAAGAGTCTCGGATAGAAGGTGGAAGGGAAGCGTTTTTCTAGTTAACTCACAACACTGCACTGCCGTGTTGTAAATGTATCTTATATATACAACATACATAGGCTAGAATAGGTGTAGCTCTTTAAGCCATTGGGGGGTTGGGTGTACACTCCAACCACACTTTGTGGTTGGGTCAAGATTTGGTTTGGTCTTGGTCCTTGGTTGGCACTTGCCAACATTTGGTCCTAAGGCCAACCAATCAGGCTAGCAACATTGTGGGGTTCCCTACTCCACAAGGCAACTCACCCATTGGCCAACTTAGTGGCCAATAGGGTTGCACCTTCTTCCAACCTCTCTTCCTTGCATGCTTGTACTATAGAGCCTCCTTGGCTCATTACTCAACCATTCTTGAATTCTATCATGGTATTCAGAGCCAAATGGCTCACGCCACCTCCCTCGATCCTTAGGCCGTAATTTCCTCTCCGCGTCTTAGATCTAGCCTCCCGCGGCCTCAATCCTCCCTCCCGTACCTCAGATCTAGCTTTCCGCGGCTCAGATCTACTCCTCCGCGGTCTCAATCCTCCCTCCCGCGGCCACAATCCTCCCTCCCGCGGCCTTAATCCTCCCTCTCGCGGCCTCCGACCGCTCTCCCGCGGCCTCAATCCTCCCTCCCGCCGCCACCCCTCCCTCACGCCTTCCGTCGCGGACGGCCAGCACACCGTCGCGGACGGCCAGCAAGCCGTCGCGGACGGCCAGCAAGCCGTCGCGGACGGCCAGCCAACCGTCGCGGACGGCCAGCGCGCGGCCACGAGCACCCCGCGCGTCGACGCGGACGGCCAGCGCGGAGTCGCGGCCGACCTGTGCGCCATCCCGAACGGCCGCCGCGCGATCGCCGACGACCTCCGCGCCGACGCGGACGACCGACGCGGAGCCGCGGCCGACCCTCGCGCTGACGCGGACGGCCGACGCAGAGCCGCGGCCGACCCTCGCGCTGACGCGGACGGCCGACGCAGAGCCGCGGCCGACCCTCGCGCTCTCACGGGCGGCCGACGCGCCGCCGCGACTGACCTGCGCGACCTCCCCCCTTTCATCCGCGCCCTGCCCCACACTTCCGCGCCATCCTCCCTCTCCCCTACCTCCTCCCCCCCCCCTTACTTCACCCTTAATCGCACCAGCAACAGCACCTAGCAGCGGCACCTTTAACCCTAAACCAGCAGCGCCACCCTGTTACGGCACCAGCAGCAGCACCTTCAACGGCACCAGCAGCGGCACCTTCAACGGCACCAGCAGCGGCACCTTCAACGGCACCAGCAGCGGCACCTTCAACGGCACCAGCAGCGGCACCTTCAACGGCACCAGCAGCGGCACCTTCCCGACTTCGCCATCATGGCGTCCGCAGACTCATCGGTCGACCTGGCGACCATTGACTCTCTCGAGTTGTTGGGCGACAACTCGGCCGCCAACTGGCACTCTTATGCCCACTCCGTCGAGGTGTTGCTCTCCTCGGTTGTCGTCAGCGGATATACCCTCCGTTCCGTCGTGTTCCAGGAGGAAGGCGGACTCCAGCCCATCGCCCCTTCCGCCCCCACCGGACCTCCTCCTGACGAGCCCGGACCTGAGCCCGAGCCTCCTGGTGATCCTCCCACCTTCGCGCCGGATGTCAACAATCCTCAGAGCATGGAAACTGCCATCCGTACCTACCGCACCGCACTCAACGACCACCTTCGCCGTCAACTGCGCTATGAGGACGACAAGCGCGCCTACGACTGCCCGCCACCGCGATTACCAAGCTCGACTCGCCACGTACACTACACGTCTCGCCAGCTACACCACCGACATCGCTGCGTGGCGCATTGCTGACCGTCGAGCTCTCGCCATCCTCCTCGCCACTATCCCCTCCTCCCTCAAACGAGAGCTTTCACCTACCTCCTCCTCCCACCTGTGGCAACTGCTTGTCGACCTCTTTGACCGGCAGGACATCGCCACCCTCTATGCCCTCATCAAGGAATTTGGATCCATCACCATGGATTCCACTGCCGGCGCAGCCGCCTTTACTCGCCGCGTCCTTGACCTTGCTCGCCGCCTTGCAGCACTTGGCGTTACCTACCCTGACACTGTCATCTACTTCCACCTCCTCGAAGGCCTCACTCCCGCCTTCGATGCCCACAAGCTCGCATACATGCAACTCCTCTCCAAGCATGACACTCCCGCTAGAGTTGCCCAGTGGATTATCACCACTGAGGCTGAAATCCTTCGCCACTCCTCCTCCACTGCCGCGGTAGCACAGCAGCGCAGCGGCAAGGGCGGACGTGGGGGAGGGCGTGGAGGTGGGCGTGGTGGTGGTCGAGGCGGCTCTGGCGGTCGTGGTGGTGCGGGTCGTGGGGCAGCAGCGGCCTTCCCACCCTGTCAGTATCTTCCCCTCTATGGCCCCACCCGAGGCCAACGCTGCAACCAAACCACTCATGCAACTGACACGTGCTTCAAGGCACTCAGCGATGAGTGGTTCGCTCGTGGGAACTCTGGCACCCCTCCTCGCTGGTCCGCCCTTAATCCCCGCCCCACTCCCCTCGATGTTCGCACCTCTCCCCTCTACGCCCCCTCCTCCTCCTCCCAGGCCCACCAGGCCTTTGCTCTCCCCTCTCAGCAGCAGCAGCAGCAGCAGCAGCAGCAGAGTGTCCAGCAGCAGGGACCGCAGCAGTATGGGCAGCAGCTCCAGCAGCTCCAGCAGCAGCTCGACCTCCAGCCCCAACTTCCTCTCCTCCCTCCTCCTCCTGTCCCCCAGCAGCAGCCGTTTCCCAGCTGGACCGCCGGAAATGCCGCCTCTGCGGCCCACCTCTCCGGTCCATCCCCTGCGCCGTCCACAGGTGGCAGTGTGACCCCCTTTCCCTCCTCTGGCTTTGTTGGTCTCCTTAGTCAGCCTCCTTCTGTTGCATCTCCTATGTATGCCCCTGCTATTAATGAAACCTCAATTCAGTATTCCGCCTCACCCTCCTCCACCCTTGAGTTCGTCTTGGACAGTGGAGCCACTGATAATGTCTTTCGAGATGCCGGCAAACTCAATCCTCTTCCCACATCCACGTCCCTCCTTGGCGCTGATAGCAGCTTTTCCATCCCCTGTCACAACACCTCCACCCTTCCCTGTCCTCTCTTTCCCTCAGGTACTGTCACAGGTCTTCACATTCCCTCCCTTCGCACCAACCTCCTCTCCCAAAGGTCCCTCCAACAATCCATGATCACCACTCTCACCCCAGGTGGTGCTAACCATTGTGATCTCTACCACACCTCCACAGGTCGTTTCCTCGCCCGTATTCCTTACTGTCCCCGCACCCATCTATACACCCTTCGAGTTCCTCGCCCCCTCACCTTCCAAGTTGCCTCCCCCCCCCTCTTCCCCCCCCCCCCTCCCCTCCCCTCCACTAACCCACCTGTCCCCCCCCCGCCCCCCTGACTCTAACTGCTCATGTCGCTCCCTCTCCCACCCTGCCATCCTCCTCCATCACAGGCTAGGTCACCCCAACTTCGCCACTCTGCGCTCCTCTGTATCCTCCGGTCTCCTCCACGGTCTCCCCTCTTCCCTCCCTCCCCTCCCAAAGTCCCCTGCCCCCCCTTGCGTCGTCTGTGTTCAGAGCAAGCTCAAGCACCAGCCGCACCGGAGCTCCCCCTCCGCTGCTGCTCAGCCACTTGATCTTGTTCACATGGACCTCTGGGGCCCTAACCCTTCCCCCACTCGCCAAGGCCATCGCTACCTCCTCGTGCTCGTCGATGACCACAGTCGGTACTCGTCCGTCTCTCTCCTTCGGACGAAGGCGGATGCCCCGACCGCGATCATTGCTTGGCTCGAGCAAGCCAACACCCACTTTGGCCGCCCTGTTCGTCGCCTCCACTCTGATGGTGGTGGTGAGTTCCTTAATACCCAAATTTCCTCCTACTGCCAGTCCCGCGGCATTCTCCAGACTCACACCCTCCCTCACTCCCCACAGCAGAACGGTGTCGCTGAGAGCCGTGTTCGGGAGATCACCAAAACGGCTCGGTGTCTTCTTGTCCACGCCTCATGCCCCCCTTCTCTGTGGGGCTACGCCCTCCTTCATGCCGCCCTCCTTACTAACCTCTACCCTCACCCCCTCCTCCCCTCCACCACCCCCACTGAGCTATGGACAAAGGACAAACCCGATGTCTCCCCTCTTCGAGTCTGGGGCTCAAAGGCCTATGTCCTCATTCACCCGTCTGACCGATCCCGCTCCCTTGGAAAGCTTGCCCCTCGTACCCTTCCTTGCGTCTTCCTTGGTCATAACCCCTCCTCCCCCGACTACCTTTTCCTCCACCCCCCTTCCGGTCGACTAATTCGCAGCAGAGATGTCGTCTTTGACGAGTCCACCCCGTACTATTCCTCTCCCCCGTCCACTGACCCACTCCCACCTCTGACCCGTCCCCTTGTCTGGTCTGACACCACCCCTCCCCCTCTCCTCCCTCCTCCCCCCATCCTCCCACCCCCTCCCCCTCCGCCCTCCCAGTCCCACGGTGCCCCTCCCTCGTCTGGTGACATCTTTGACCCGGACCCTCTATCTTACCCTGTCTCCCCCGCCCACTCCTCCCCCGGTGCCCCTCCCCCTCCCTCCCAACCACCTCCCTCCCCCACTCCCCGCACCATACTCACCCGGTATCCTCACACCAGGTCATGTGACAGTATCCTTGGTGCACCGCCCCCTGTTACCCTCTCTACCTCTTCCCTTCCCCCTCTTTCTCCCCTCCTTCACCACTTCTTCCAGGCTGTCTTACACCACGCCTCTCCTGCACCAGCCTCCTCGACCACCTCCCCATCCTCGGTAGCAGCACCTCCAGCAGCAGCCATTGCAGCGGCACCAGCAGCGGCAGGTGCAGCAGCAGCAGCGGCACCAGCAGCGGCAAGTGCAGCGGCAGCAGCGGCCTCCACAGCAGCACCAGCAGCGGCACCAGCAGCGGCACGAGCAGCGGCACGAGCAGCGGCCCCAGCGGTTATCCGCGCCTTCCACACCTCCCTCTCTGAGGACTCCCATGAGGAGTTCCTTGACCTCCACCTTTCCGACCCCTCCCTCCTCCCCATCACCTTTGACCTGTCTGGAACACCAGTCTTCGCCTTTTCCTCTGCTCCCTCCATCTTCGTCCCAACCACGTACGAGGAGGCCATGGCTTGCCCCGACGCCCCGCTCTGGCTTGCCGCCATCATCAAGGAGCTCGAGGCATTTATCGCCAACTCCTCCTTCGTTGATGTCCCTCGCCCTCCCTCCTCTACGAACGTGGTAAAGGGGAAGTGGGTGTTTCGCGTCAAACAGCTACCAGGAGAACCGCCCGTCTACAAGGCCCGGTATTGCGCCAAGGGCTTCACGCAGCGGTATGGTTTTGACTTCTTCGACACCTTCTCCCCCACCGCCAAACCTGCTACCGTTCGCGCTGTACTCGACCTCGCCGCTCGCCTCAACATGGAGATCCACTCGATGGATGTCTCCAACGCCTTCCTGCAAGGCGTACTACGTGAACTCATTTACATGGAGCGCCCAGACGGCTTCCACCTCCCCTTCCCCGCCGACTCCGTCTGGCAGCTGCGCCGACCCGTGTACGGGCTCCGTCAGGCACCCAGGGAGTGGCATGCCAAGCTTGCTGCCACCCTTGCTGAGCTTGGCTTTCGCACCTCCCGCTCTGACGCCAGCCTCTTCCTCCGCACCTCTCCCTCCCCCTTCTACATCCTCGTCTATGTTGACGACATGATCCTCCTCACCGCCGACCTTGCCGAGCTCGAGACTGTCAAGGCGGAGCTGGGCAGCCGTCTCAAGTGCAAAGACCTGGGAGAGCTGCAGAACTACCTCGGCATGACCATCACTCGCGACCGCTCCGCCCGCACCATCTCACTCTCTCAGGGTCACTACCTCCAGCAGGTCTTGGACCGGTTTGACATGGCGCGCGGCAACCCCCAGCCCACTCCCCTCTCGGTTGGGCACCACCTCTCCCCACCCTCCTCTCCCTCTCCCTCCTCCCATCCTTATCCGGAACTCATCGGCTCTCTCATGTACGCCATGGTTTCCACTCGCCCCGATCTTGCCTACCCCATCAGCGTCCTCGCTCGGTTCGTTGGCGCTGGCAAGCACACGGAAGAGCACTGGCAGGCCGCCAAGCGTGTCCTTCGCTACATTCGTGGCACCAAGGACTATGTCCTCACTCTTGGCGGCCCTTCCCCACCACACCTCAACGGCTACAGCGACTCTTCCTGGGCTGATTCTCGACCGGATCAGCAGTCCTCTCAGGGCTATGGTTTCTCCCTCGGCAGCGGTCTCATCAGCTGGCGGTCCACACGCTCCTCTGCCGTCGCCCTCTCCTCCTGCGAAGCAGAGCTCTATGCTGCGACCATGGCCGCGCAAGAAGCACGCTGGCTCACCTTCCTCCTTGATGAGCTCGGAGCCCCCCAACGCTGTCCCACCATCTGGTGTGACAACGCCAGCACCATCCACCTCACCAAGGACGCTGTGTATCATGGGCGCTCAAAACATATTGAGCTTCGCTACTTCTTCATTCGCGATCTCGTTGAGGCCGGCCACATTCGTCTTGGCAAAATCGACTCGGCAGCCAACCTCGCCGACATCTTCACCAAAGCTCTTCCCCTAGCGTCCCACTCCTTCCTGTTGCGTCTCCTTGGGCTCACCCCGCCACCAGTTTTGGCGGCCTCCTGATTACATTTTTTCTAGCCTTATGCATGTTGGGGGGTTGTGTTGTAAATGTATCTTATATATACAACATACATAGGCTAGTGTAGCTCTTTAAGCCATTGGGGGGTTGGGTGTACACTCCAACCACACTTTGTGGTTGGGTCAAGATTTGGTTTGGTCTTGGTCCTTGGTTGGCACTTGCCAACATTTGGTCCTAAGGCCAACCAATCACAAGCTAGCAACATTGTGGGGTTCCCTACTCCACAAGGCAACTCACCCATTGGCCAACTTAGTGGCCAATAGGGTTGCACCTTCTTCCAACCTCTCTTCCTTGCATGCTTGTACTATAGAGCCTCCTTGGCTCATTACTCAACCATTCTTGAATTCTATCATGCCGTGGGGAGACGGGAGGACAGGCGAGACATGGGAAGTGGGCTGAGATGAGAAGAGTCTCGCATGAAAGGTGGAAGGGCAGTCCTGCCTCCACCATCTCTCCCACTGAGCGTTGGAGTGGGGAGACGCGTGAGGAGCAGGTTAAGGAGCAGGTGGGGGGCGGGGGGGGGGAGGAGGAGGAGGAGGAGGAGGAGGAGGAGGAGGAGGAGGAGGAGGAGGAGGAGGAGGAGGAGGAGGAGGAGGAGGAGGAGGAGGAGGAGGAGGAGGAGGAGGAGGAGGAGGAGGAGGAGGAGGAAGAAGATGGGAGTGAAAAATGTCCATCAAACGATTAAAGAGGGTGAGAGAGACTCACCAATGCGGTTCTGCAGGTCGGTGCGTTGCTTCTTCTGTGCATGGTAAGCGTTCACAATCTCATCCTGTGGGGTTCAGTGCGGTACAGAGGAGTGCGAACTGGTTTAGAATGGTTTTGACAGGGTAGAATGCACGCCGGCATGTGGCACACACGACATGGTACGAGATATATAAGGTAGGCTTACACTCCTTCAACCAGCAACAAAAACTGTCTGCTCCATGCCTCGCTCCCTCCATCCCTTAAACTTGAACCCCCTCTCGCCCTCGACACACACACACACATATACATCCGTCACCCCACCCCAACCCCACCTCACCCCACCTCACCCCCCCTCACCCCCACCTCAACCTACGACACCCCCACCTCAACCCACCTCACCCCCACCTCAACCCACGTCATCCCCACCTCACCCGCTGTCTCTCGCACTGCGCTGCCTCGGACTTAAGAACTCGCTGCTTCCCCCCCACAGAAACGACCCATCCCCCCACCTCATCCACTCACTCCCTCAACCACACCTCACCCCACCTCCCACCTCACCCGCTGTCTCTCGCACTGTGCTGCCTCGGCCTCGAGAGCGCGCTGCTCCCGCCGCACGGCCTGCGCCCTCTCATGCAGCTCCCTGCCCCTCGCATCAATGCGCTCCTTCTCCGCCTGCAGCTGCTCCTCCTCCTGCAACCCCGACTCTGGCGCCCATGACACATAGACCCATACGGAAACAGTGAAACGACACAGTGAGACACCCAGTCACACGCTTCAGCGCTTTAGATGAGATGAGTTGGCGCGCGTTAGCGCCGCATCAATGCGCTCCTTCTCTGCCTGAAGCTGCTCCTCCTCCTGCAACCCCGACTCTGGTAGTCACCACCCCCCGCACAGTGACACGACACAGCGACACAGGCACACACGGGAGGAGTAGCGAGAATTGGCGCAACACACGCTCTCACACACACTGATACACAGAGGCCGCATGCTGTGACGAATATGAGGCGCCTCAAAAGAGGTGTATTTTGAGGCGCCTCAAAACACACGCTCTCACACACACTGATACACAGAGGCCGCATGCTGTGACGAATAGGAGCCACCTCAAAGGTGCATGTGAGTGCAATTGAAGAGGCAGCGTGAGTCCTTTTGGAAGGCTCTTGGGGGAAGAATTGAGAGGGGCGGACCTTGGGAGAAGAGGCGGGAGGGGCGGACCTTGGGAGAAGAGGCGGGAGGGGCGGACCTTGGGAGAAGAGGCGGGAGGGGCGGACGTCATGCATGGTGGCCGAGATGGAGCCGTTGTATCGCGAGCGCATCCAGCGGTAGTGGCTGCCGGGCGTCCACAGGTCCTCCACTCCCCTCTCCTGTATCGCCTCCGCGTTCCGATCAGCTTCCGGCGATCCAACGAACTGCAAGGCGTGGTGGTGTGGTGTGGTGTGGTGTGGTGTGGTGTGGTGTGGTGTGGTGTGGTGTGGTGTGGTGTGGTGTGGAACACGAAGGAGAAGGAGGCGAGGAAGCAAGAGTGAGTGGCTGCCTGGCGTCCACAGGTCCTCCACTCCCCTCTCCTGTATCGCCTCCGCGTTCCGATCAGCTTCCGGCGATCCTACAAACTGCAGCACGCGGATTGGGAATGAAAGGGAGGGAGGCGGGGAAGGGAGAGTGAGCAGCAGGCGCGTCAGTTATCCACTGGTCGGTGCTTTACGCCCGTCTGCCCTGTATCGCCCCTGTCTGCCCTGTATCGCCCCTGTCTGCCCTGTATCGCCCCTGTCTGCCCTGTATGTATCGCCTCTGCATGGAGTCGCTGCATGCGGAGGGGCAGCCGTGGTAGCGCGAGCGCAGCCAGCGGTAGTGGCTGGAATACGAGGGAGAGGGAGGCAGAGTATCATGAATAAGAAGCTGTCAGTAAGTTACCCCCAGGTCCTGCACCTCGCCCCACCCACCTGTATCGCCTCCGCGTGCCAGTCCGCGTCTTGTGGCTCGATGAACAAGGTTAGTTACTCACAGGTCCTCGATGCCTTGTGAGTAAGCGCGAGGTGGGGACAAGGGACAGATTGAAATCACTTTTGAGAATTCTCACAAGGTTAGATACTCACAGGTCCTCGATGCCTTGTGAGTAAGCGCGAGGTGGGGACAAGGGACAGATTGAAATCACTTTTGAGAATTCTCACAAGGTTAGATACTCACAGGTCCTCGATGCCTTAGTTGCAGAAGACGCAGATCAGACGCTGCGTCCTGCGTCTGGACGCAGCGTCTAGACGCTAGGACGCAGGACGCGCGTCCAGACGCAGGACGCAGTTCTAATTTTTTTTCGGGCAGCCCGAAATTTTTTTTTTCCCCCGATTATGAAACTTACATTCGCGATTTCGACACGACTGTCGAAATCGCGAAATTTCGACCCCCCCTTGCCCAAATCGCCATTGTAAAACATCCCCCCCAACATTTCATAACCCTTCAATCAAAATTGAAAATGTCAAACCTCTCAACCACTCAACATCTAGAAAACCCAACCTTAGTGGGTCACCACCTAGCCCATTTAGCAATCCAACCAAGTCCATTTGTGCTTACTCATTCTACCAATTCTCTTTCGTAAACCCTAGAGGTTTTGGCGTAGTAGCTTAACTCCGTTCCGTTATGGCCTCTCCAAGCAACCTTTCGTCCTCCACCGGATCTAAGAATGTTAGTGCCGACGCCGACTCTCCTCCCCAACGTTTTACTAAGGAAGGGGTGGAGAAGAAACCGCAAAACCCTACGCACCATATTTATAAGTACTTTTGGACATTCGACGATCCTAAGATGAAGGGGAAGCAATGCGAGTGCCTTTGGTGCGAGAAAACTTTCGCCTTTAGTAGTAGCCGGTGCACCGCGCATCTCGCCGAATGGGTCGACGAGAACGTGCGCCGCGACGCCGGGATCGTTTGCGCGAAGGTTCCTAAGCGCATTTCCGACGCCATTCGCAACTCGAAGGAGTCGAAGATTACGGCGCGCAAGGATAAGGAGAGGGCGACGGAAGCGGCGCTCACTGCAGTCCAAGGCGGGGCGAGACCGAAGGCAAAGAAGGGGCGGATGGAGGATTGGTACGGCGAGGGGGGGAAGACGGCGAAGCGTGCGGCGGACGATGCGATTTGCCTCTGGATCGCGGGGACGCGCACGGCGGAGTCTATGTGCGAGCACCCCCTCTTCCTCAACATGTTGCGCGCCGTTAACGCCGCCGGACCCGGCTACGTCCCCCCAAGGCGTACCTACGTTGGAGGCGCTGGGGTGCTGGCGTGCAAGCAGCAGATCGAGAAGGGGTTGGCGCCCATTACGAGGACTTGGAAGGAGACCGGCGTGACGATCGCCAGCGACATGATGAGAGACAAGAGCGGGCGCGCGCAGATGAACATCATCTGCATCAACGCCGAAGGCGCAGTTTTCCAGGAGGCGGTCGACTGCAAGGCGGAGACAAAGACTGGGGCTTTTATCGTGAGCGTCCTGCAGCCGATCATCGAGAAGGTTGGACCAGAGCACGTCGTCGCGATTTGCACGGACGGCGGCAGCAACTACGTGTCCGCCTGCAAGAAGCTGCAGAAGAAGTACCCGCACATCGAGATCGTCCCCTGCGCCACTCATGTGCTCGACCTGCTGTTGGAGGACTTCGGCAGCATGGATTGGGCGCAGGAGGTCGTGCCAGTTGCGACCGACATGATCTCGTTCCTGCGCAGCCACACGTGGACGCGTGCCTTCCTGCGGTGTCCCGAGCTGCATGGCGAGAAGAAGTCGCTGCAGCCGCTGCGACCGGCGGGCACGCGTTTTGGGACGCAGTACATTGCGGTTTCACGTCTGCGTGAGATTCGCCCGCAGCTGACTAAGATGGTGACGCATAAGGACTGGGAGGAGAAGGGGAGGAAGCAGCTGACTGGCAAAACCTTTGAGGCGGCGGTGTTGGATGTGGAGTGGTGGGAGAAGGTAGATACCTTCGTCAGGGTGATGGAGCTGCCGTACAAGGTGATGAGGAAGACGGATGGGCCGGCGAAGGGGATGATGGGGGCATTGTACGACATGATGCTACAGCTGACGGTCGACTTGGGGAAGCTGCTGGAGAGTGCGGATTGCAAGCTCAGCGAGGAGGATAAGGAGGGGTTGCAGGAGCATTTGAGGCGGCGGTGGGACGAGAGTTTGGCCTGCCCTCTTCACGTGGTAGGCCGGATTCTCAACCCGGTCAACCAGGAGGAGGGGATCTACCTCAAAGACACCGAGTGCACCAGGGTGATGAAGGCATGGCTGCAGCGCTCGAGGGCCTTCGTCGACAAGTACTGGAAGGACGGCGAGCCGAAGGGAACGATGAAGGCGCTGCAGGAGGGGATGCTGGCGTACATTGAGTGCAGGGGGTCCTTTGGGTCGGAGGAGGCGATGGAGGGGCGTGCGGAGCTGAAGGCAGGGAAGGGGGACATGGTGACGTGGTGGAAGGTGAATGGCTGGGAGTATGCCGATCTGGCACGCCTTGCGTGCCGTGCGGTGTCACAGGCCGTTTCCGCTTCTCCGTGCGAGCGGGGATGGGCTGTGTGGGATGGGGTGCACACGGCGCGCAGGAACAGGCTGGGGTCGGAGAAGGTGCGCGACCTGGTGTTTGTGGCGCACAACTGGACGGTTGTGCACGGCCACCACCATGGTGCAGCTGGTGGTGCTGGACCAAGTGGGGAAGTCAGGAAGGGGGGGGTAGTGGAGGGAAACATTCCTACCCCTCCCCTCCCCAAAGGGTACTACTTGGAGGAGGATGGGGAGAGGGAGGTGGACGAGGACGACCCGTGCGTCGACGAGTACAAGGACCAGGAAGCGATGGACGAAGAGGAGAAGGATGATGGGGATGTGTGACTGGTAGACTTGATGCTGTCCAGTGGTAGTTTAGTATGCATGTGCTTAAGTGGTTGGACTAAATTAAATGTGTGTTTGACCTGGTGACATGTGTGATGTGACGTGACTCACTTAGTCATGAATTGAGGGGGAAAAAAATGTTGTTGGGGAAAAAATTGCCTTGAAAGTGTGGAAGGTCCCCCCCCCCCCCCTCTTCCCACGCCCCATGCAAAGTTTTTTTTGCCTGGCCGAAGGTTTTTTTTTGCCCTGCCCGGGCTTGCGTCTTTTGGTGCGTCTTAGGGGTCCAGGTTCTGCGTCCTGCGTCTGGACGCATGCGTCCTAGACGCAGGACGCGTCTTCTGGAACTAAGCTCGATGCCTTGTGAGTAAGCGCGAGGTGGGGACAAGGGACAGATTGAAATCACTTTTGAGAATTCTCACAAGGTGAGTTACTCACAGGTCCTCGATGCCTTGTGAGTAAGCGCGAGGTGGGGACAAGGGACAGATTGAAATCACTTTTGAGAATTCTCACAAGGTTAGATACTCACAGGTCCTCGATGCCTTGTGAGTAAGCGCGAGGTGGGGACAAGGGACAGATTGAAATCACTTTTGAAAATTCTCACAAGGTTAGATACTCACAGGTCCTCGATGCCTTGTGAGTAAGCGCGAGGTGGGGACAAGGGACAGATTGAAATCACTTTTGAGAATTCTCACAAGGTTAGATACTCACAGGTCCTCGATGCCTTGTGAGTAAGCGCGAGGTGGGGACAAGGGACAGATTGAAATCACTTTTGAGAATTCTCACAAGGTTAGATACTCACAGGTCCTCGATGCCTTGTGAGTAAGCGCGAGGTGGGGACAAGGGACAGATTGAAATCACTTTTGAGAATTCTCACAAGGTTAGATACTCACAGGTCCTCGATGCCTTGTGAGTAAGCGCGAGGTGGGGACAAGGGACGGATTGAAATCACTTTTGAGAATTCTCACAAGGTTAGATACTCACAGGTCCTCGATGCCTTGTGAGTAAGCGCGAGGTGGGGACAAGGGACAGATTGAAATCACTTTTGAGAATTCTCACAAGGTTAGATACTCGCAGGTCCTCGATGCCTTGTGAGTAAGCGCGAGGTGGGGACAAGGGACAGCGCGATACCAAACATCAGACTAAGCACCTCACTTGTACCTTATTACCAACCACACACACATAGGCCGCGGTGGGACTTATTACCACGGATAGTGGCGTAACATAATCCGTTGATTAACATAATCCATCACTTAACCGGAAGCCGTAGCATATTCCGTCGATTAACCAACCACACACACATAGGTCGCGGTGGAACACTTGGGTGGCGGGTCGCATGCGCATGCATGCTCACGGAAAGATTCACACACATGTGGCACTCACGGTCGCTCTTACGCAACCACCTACGCTCGCACGCACGCGCACGCACACACACATGCATGTGAGCATGCAGCACTCGCACGCATGGCAGCAAACAGCACGCACGCATACCCCCACGTGCAGCACTCACGGAGCGGAAGAGCTGCGACTGCTGGTTGAGCACAGTCACAGATCGGCACCCATGCATGGGCACTCACGTGAGCATGGCAGCACGCAGCAGGCAGCACTCACTGTGATGGGCACTCACAGAGCGGAAGAGCTGCGACTGCTGGTTGAGCACACTGCGCACCACAGGGGCCGCGTTGAACACCTCGTCCAATCGGTGCGTGACACCTAGGCGCTGCAGCTGTTGGAGGCGAGATGCATGGGGGAGGGGATGAGGAGGAGAGAATGAGAGATGAGACATGAGGGAGAAAGGGAATGAGGAAGAGAGGGAACTTTAGGGAGAAAGGAAACTTGAGGGAGAGAGGGAACACGAGGGAGAGAGGAAACATGAGGGAGAGAGGGAACACGAGGGAGAGAGGAAACATGAGGGAGAGAGGGAACACGAGGGAGAGAGGAAACATGAGGGAGAGAGGGAACACGAGGGAGAGAGGAAACATGAGGGAGAGAGGGAACAAGAGGGAGAGTGGAAACATGAGAGAGAGTGGGCGGAAGCAGAGGAGTGGGAGGAAAAAAGAGGCTGGGAGACAGGAGGAAAGGGGGATGAAGAAGGGAGGAGGGGGAAGGAAGGAGGGACGACAAAGAAGTCGAGGGGAGGGGAGAATGGGGAGCAAGGCTGGAGAGGAGGGGGCATAGCACAGCACAATCAATGCACAAAAGCAGCACAGAAGCAGTACAAGGAGCGCGTGTCACATATTACAGTCTCACAGCACATCACTCACATGTGCATCCACCGCCATGGCATGTGCGGGGGGACCCAGCTCCTCAGGACGACTGCTCTCATTGACCACAGCCACGCCAAGGGGCTTCAAGTGGCGCACGAGCAGGTCTCGATCCTCTGGCATTGTTGTCACAAACGCCTGCCATGCAGAGATGGGAGAGCGGGAGAGTGGGAGATTGGGAGTTCAGGAGAGCGGGAGGGGCTTTAGGGTTTAGGGCGCACGAGCAGGTCTCGAGCCTCCTGCACTGCACTGTTGTCACAAACGCCTGCACGGGGGGAGGGAACAGGAGGAGAGGAGCGGAGGAGAAGAGGAGCAGAGGAGAAGAGTAGAAGAGGAGAAAAAGAGACGGGAAACATGAGAAGAGGAGAACATCAAAGGAGGGGAAGGATCGATCGAGTGGGGCACAGCGACAGACAGCTGCCTGCTTGCTTTCCACACTCACCCGGTGCTTGAATCAAGTCAAGAAACAGGTTGGTTACACGCAGCATCCAAAGAAAGTTGGGGAGTCATGACTTGCTCATGCCTTCCACACCCACCCTGCCACATGTTGCTCTCACCTTCCACACCCACCCTGCCACGTGCTGCTCTCACCTTACACACCCACCCTGCCACGTGCTGCTCTCACCTTCCCCAAGAAAGTTGGGGGATCATGACTGCTCACCTTCCACACCCACCCTGCCACGTGCGATTCCAGAAAGGCCCCGTGGGCGTCGGGGTCGATGACATTCACCTGGGGGTGCAGAGGGGTGCAGGGGGGTGGACGGGGGAAATAGAGGAGGTGTGGAACAGAGGAGCACAGCACAGTGCGTGCTGCTCCAGAAAGGCTGCATGGGCATCGGGGTGAATGACATTCACGGGTGTTCGAAGGGGGGAGCAGAGAGGCTGAGAGAGCAGAGGGGCAGATTAAATCACGCCACCCACCTCACCGCCGTAAAACGCCCTTGTCGTTCGATAATCTAAAAAAACCATCAGCAGCGCTTGTCAGTCTCTAAACGGGAAACTGGCGCGACCAATTGGGCGGAGTGTAAAAGGGCTTTACAGATTCGATTGACACGCATGCGGCAAGGGTCCCTCCCACCTCAGCAAGAATGGGTCCATAGACGGCGCCCTTGCAGCTCATTCCCAGTCATCTCAAAGCTCAATGTACCTCTCAAAACCGCACCCCACCTCGGCGAGGATGGGTCCGTAGACGGCGCCCTTGCACTGAGCGCGGTTGTGGTCCAGCCACTCACACGCCTTGAGGTAGTTACTGAGGCGCCTCCAAAGCAACCACAACTCACACGCATGTGGCAAGGGTCCCTCCCACCCCACCTCAGCAAGAATGGGTCTGTAGACGGCGCCCTTGCACTGTATGTCCAGATGCCTCAACCTGAAAACTACCACTCAGAAATTCTGCACCCCACCTCAGCGAGAATGGGCCCGTAGACAGCCCCCTTGCACTGAGCGCGGTTGTGGTCCAGCCACTCACACGCCTGCTTCAGCTCCCTGTCGCCCGCCCGCTCTATGCGCCGGTTGCGACTGTTCGCCACCTCGTTTATGCTGATGTGTGCAAGGGGATGGGGGAGTGGATGGGCGGGGGAGTGGTGGTGTGGGGGAAATGAGACATGTCAAACCCTGCTCTATGCTCGAGTATTGGGGGAGAAGACCTGCTCAAGACCTGCTCAAGACCTGCTCAATGCCTGCTCAATGCCTGCTCTGTGCCCCTAGGACAGTTGCGACTACCCTGATTAAGACAGCATGTGCGAGGAGCTTGACCGAAAGGGAACCCAAGATGGCTCGCTTGGTAGTTGGAACAGAGATTGAACAATGATTCAATAAGGATGATCTTTAAACTATCTTCAGTATTTGTACTCCCTTTAAACCCGCTCAGAAACCATAACCCAGCTGCGCTTTCCTTCTCACCACCTCACTCACCCCTCTCACTCTCTCTCCCTCACACCCTTCTCACCGTCACTCATCCCCTCTCACCGCCCCTCACCCCTTCCCACCACCTCACCCCCCTCACACCCTTCTCACCGTCGCTCCACGCGTCCCATCTGGTCTCTCAGCACGCTCATCTGCTGCTCCAGCTGCCGTCCCTCACGCTCCTTCTCCCCCGCCTGCATCCGCAGCTCCCTCCCTCGCCTGGCCAAAGGGTCCTGCACCAGCCAGCACGGAGGGGGTCAAACAAACCCTAAAGAAGCTTTCGTGCGAAAACTTTGATTTGGCGCGGCACAAATTCACCCGCCCAAACAGAGCCGAGAGCTGAACACCTCCTGGACATTCCAGCACTAAACCGCAACGGCATCCTTGGGCGGCCATGCCCCCCCCCCACTCTCCCCTTCCTTCTCCCATAACGTACCACAGCTGCCTTGGGCGGTTTGACTTCCGGCAGGGCAGCAAGCTGAGCCTCCAGCTGCGTACACACCCTCCCACTCACTGCCTCACCATGATCTCATGCCCCACGCCCCGTGCTCCCTCTCCTCTTTCCCCTTCCATCACCCACCACAGCGGCCTTGGGCGGTTTGACTTCCGGCAGGGCAGCAAGCTGAGCCTCCAGCTGCGTACACACCCTCCCACTCACTGCCTCACCATGATCTCATGCCCCACGCCCCGTGCTCCCTCTCCTCTTTCCCCTTCCATCACCCACCACAGCGGCCTTGGGCGGTTTGACTTCCGGCAGGGCAGCAAGCTGAGCCTCCAGCTGCGTACACACCCTCCCACTCACTGCCTCACCATGATCTCATGCCCCACGCCCCGTGCTCCCTCTCCTCTTTCCCCTTCCATCACCCACCACAGCGGCCTTGGGCGGTTTGACTTCCGGCAGGGCAGCAAGCTGAGCCTCCAGCTGCGTACACACCCTCCCACTCACTGCCTCACCATGATCTCATGCCCCACGCCCCGTGCTCCCTCTCCTCTTTCCCCTTCCATCACCCACCACAGCGGCCTTGGGCGGTTTGACTTCCGGCAGGGCAGCAAGCTGAGCCTCCAGCTGCGTACACACCCTCCCACTCACTGCCTCACCATGATCTCATGCCCCACGCCCCGTGCTCCCTCTCCTCTTTCCCCTTCCATCACCCACCACAGCGGCCTTGGGCGGTTTGACTTCCGGCAGGGCAGCAAGCTGAGCCTCCAGCTGCGTACACACCCTCCCACTCACTGCCTCACCATGATCTCATGCCCCACGCCCCGTGCTCCCTCTCCTCTTTCCCCTTCCATCACCCACCACAGCGGCCTTGGGCGGTTTGACTTCCGGCAGGGCAGCAAGCTGAGCCTCCAGCTGCGTACACACCCTCCCACTCACTGCCTCACCATGATCTCATGCCCCACGCCCCGTGCTCCCTCTCCTCTTTCCCCTTCCATCACCCACCACAGCGGCCTTGGGCGGTTTGACTTCCGGCAGGGCAGCAAGCTGAGCCTCCAGCTGCGTACACACCCTCCCACTCACTGCCTCACCATGATCTCATGCCCCACGCCCCGTGCTCCCTCTCCTCTTTCCCCTTCCATCACCCACCACAGCGGCCTTGGGCGGTTTGACTTCCGGCAGGGCAGCAAGCTGAGCCTCCAGCTGCGTACACACCCTCCCACTCACTGCCTCACCATGATCTCATGCCCCACGCCCCGTGCTCCCTCTCCTCTTTCCCCTTCCATCACCCACCACAGCGGCCTTGGGCGGTTTGACTTCCGGCAGGGCAGCAAGCTGAGCCTCCAGCTGCGTACACACCCTCCCACTCACTGCCTCACCATGATCTCATGCCCCACGCCCCGTGCTCCCTCTCCTCTTTCCCCTTCCATCACCCACCACAGCGGCCTTGGGCGGTTTGACTTCCGGCAGGGCAGCAAGCTGAGCCTCCAGCTGCGTACACACCCTCCCACTCACTGCCTCACCATGATCTCATGCCCCACGCCCCGTGCTCCCTCTCCTCTTTCCCCTTTCATCACCCACCACAGCGGCCTTGGGCGGTTTGACTTCCGGCAGGGCAGCAAGCTGAGCCTCCAGCTGCTGCAGGTCGGCCTGTGCCTTGGCCAGCCGCTGCTCGCGACTCTCCGCCTTCTTCCTCGCCTCCAGCACGTCCCGCTGCCTCTCCACCGCCTGCTGCACCTGTGGGGACAGGAGGGAGGAGGGCAAGCAGGTGTGGGGTGTGTGTGAGGAGCAGCTCTGGGCCTCCAGCTGCTGCAGGTCGGCCTGTGCCTTGGCCAGCCGCTGCTCGCGACTCTCCGCCTTCTTCCTCGCCTCCAGCACGTCCCGCTGCCTCTCCACCGCCTGCTGCACCTGTGGGGACAGGAGGGAGGAGGGCAAGCAGGTGTGGGGTGTGTGTGAGGAGCAGCTCTGGGCCTCCAGCTGCTGCAGGTCGGCCTGTGCCTTGGCCAGCCGCTGCTCGCGACTCTCCGCCTTCTTCTTCGCCTCCAACACATCCCGCTCCCTCTCCACCGCCTGCTGCACCTGCGTGGGCATGCATGACGGGGATGTGCACGAAGTACAGAGTACGGTGCCAGGAGCACCCTCAGAAACAAACTAGCCTGATTGTCTACTCTTGCCCCGTGCACCGCCTCCAACACGTCGCGCCGCCCCTCCTCTCCAACGCCTGCTGCACCTGTGGGGGCACACAGGGGGGACGAGATGGTGTACAGTATACGGTGTGAGGAGCCATTCTAGGTTGAGACTAAGCTTGCCTCTCTCGCTCCGGTCTCTCTTTCTTGCCCTGAGTTGTGCACCTCCTCCACCACATCCTTCCTTTCAATGGAGGCAAACAGCTGTGAGATGCGACGAGAGCACATCAATACTCTTGCCATCCTTCCCCGCTCACCAGCTGGTCGCTCTCCTCTGCCAGTTCCCGCAGCTTCCTCTCCCTCGCTTCGTTCTCGCGTCCTATCTTCGCCACCAGCGATGCAAACCCCGTGCGACTCTCCTTCAGCGCTCTGGGGGGAAGGGAGGGAGGGAGAGGGGGGGGAAGTGGGGGGTGAAGAGGGGGGGAAGTGGTGGGCAATAGGGGAGAGATGGAATCAGTGGGAAAAGAAGAAGGCAGTTTGACAACTTCGATTCTATAGCTGGCAACTGGTAACCCCGTGACATTCCCTCATGGTCATGCACAGCACTCACACAAGGGGGTCCCTGGCGGCCATGACTTGCGTCTGCAGGTCGTCCCTCTCCTTGTGCCTCGCCTCCACTGCCTGCTCCATCTCCCTCACGCGTTGCTTCATGCGCTCATACTTGAGCCATGGCACCTTCTTCTTCATCAGCGCTACCTGCATGGGGGTGAGAGGAGGAGGGGGGGAGAGGAGAAGTGGGGGAAAGGGAGCGGAAGGAGGAGCGGGTGAGAACGCCATCGCTCGCTGCTTCATGCGCTCATACTTGAGCCATGGCACCTTCTTCTTCATCAGCGCTACCTGCAGGGGGGGAGCAGAGGGGGAGAGAGTGGAAGGAGGAGAGGGCGGAAGGAAGAGAGTGGAAGTGGGGAAGAGAGTCTGGTTTCCCTTCCCCCCTACCTTACACAGGTTACGACCTGCAGTTGCCAATAGAGAACGGTACAACACAAGAGAGCTACGGGTGCGTGGAGCAAGCTAAGGAGAGAGTTGGAACTTGGAAATAAGCTTCAACTCACCCAAGTGCTCCTTCCTGTGAAAACGAAATCAGACTGGATTGATTTGCTTCGGCAAGATGAAGTTGAACCAAACTAAACAGTTTCAACTCAAACCGTGCTCCATTCAAGTCGGATCGAACTATATCTGACAGACAGGAAAACCATGCTCAGGTCTACTCACACACCCATCACGCCTCTCGCACCCACCAACACCTCCACAAGGTGACTTCTGAGACAAAACACCTCTCATCTCAATACCACCCACCTCCTTGAGAATGGCCTCCCTGCGTTGCACCTTCTCCACATCCACCTCCACCTGTGCATTCGCCTGCTGTAGCTTGCCCAGCTGCTCCTCGTGTGACACCAACGTCTGCAGCACATGGAGACATAACACGCATGGGGGCATGGGAGGCATGGGATCCATACCATGGGTTAGATAAAAAAAAATGCATGTAGGTTAGTGTGCTCTTCGTGAATATGTGCAGGCAATTTATGCTGAAAACGGCTAGGTTGAGAAGTCTGAAACCTGCTTAACCAGTACTGGAGAATGCGTAGCCGCTCGATGCGAAAAGAAAACCAAGCCTCAGCTCACCGCATGCAGGGAGGAGAGAGCGCCCTGCTGGGATTTAAGGAAGGCGTGCTGGTGGGAGAGCTGCGGCGGGGTGACTTGTGAGTCAGGTCAAAGCAACCCCTCACTGCATCTCTCACCGCATGCAGGGAGGCGAGGCGAGGGCGTCCTGCTGGGATTTAAGGAAGGCGTGCTGGTAGGATGACTTTTTAGTCGACTCAAAAGTCATCTCGTTGAGGAAGGCGTGCTGCCGGAAGAGCTGTGGGTTGCCTTGTGAGGTGACCCAGAAGAACCCACACCCACATCTCACCACAAGCATGCGGCACACAAAGGAACCCCCCCGCCACATCTTACCGCATGCAGCGTGGCGAGGGCGTCCTGCTGGTCCTTGAGGAAGGCGTGCTGCTGGG